TTTGCTTTCTCACTTTTTCTCTCTCTCTCTTTCTCTTTTACTCTGTCCCTCTCTGATCAAGTTAAAATAAATAAATAAAATAAATATGGTTCAATAAAAATTTTTTTAAAAAAATCCTGCGGACCTGCTGGAATGCAAAAGAAACCCAAGATAGGAACCCTTGCCTTGACCTCAGACTGCTAACCGGTTTGAGAATAGGACAGGTCTGTGTGTGACAGATGAGGTTGCCTCAGGCAGAGCATGTTTTCCAGCTTTGTCCAAATATTCCTTGGCACGTCAGAACTCTGTTTTATGGGCATTGACCCTATTTCACATTCTCGATAAGTCCTTCCTAAGTAAACTCTCCTCAGTGAATTACTACAGAGTAATGAATCCAGATATAACTATCATCTTACTTTTACTTGTTAAAAATAAAATAAGCTTGGGACCAGCAACTGGTGTGGTTGTTGGGGTGCTGGATTCACACACGGCTGATGGGGATTTGGGTTCCAGATCCAGCAGCTTGAATCTCCCACTAGGCACGTGTGCGTGCATGCCCAACATCCTGGGAAGAGAATAGAGGAGAAGGGACTGTGGCATGGCCCTCCTCCTGGGGGTGATTTTTTCATGTTCTTTGTCACTGTCTCTCTCTGGTGAGCACACATAACCTATGACAAAAAAAACCTAGAAAAATAAATAAATAAAATAAGCTCATAAGTGCATATTGACCTATTAATAAATAAGTATTAACTGAAAATATTATAGATATTTCTATAGTAGCATAGAGAGCAACAAGTTAGAAAAGTGAAGAAAATCAAATTAGAACCAACTGTTTTTCTGTTTGTTTTTAAACTCTTTGTTATCTTTATATTTACTTATGATAAATGAAAACAGCATTAATTTGCTTTTTGTAAAAAAAAAGTATAAGAAAAAGTATTCTTATTATTAATGTATTTCTTATTTATTGCTGTAGGTGTCAGAATACTGTTATTAGTACAGCTCCAATAGTTTGTCAGTTTCTGGCTAATGAAATACTTTGCTGGGAATACATCCTCATCTGTTATTTTTCATTGATTCTCAGACTTGGGAAAATTTAATTATGTACTGCAAAGTTTATTATAGAAAAAATTCTCAAGGATATTTTTATGGAGCTATTTTCTAGACTTGATCTCTTATATAATGTATTAACATTGTTTCATCTTTTTTTTTTATGTTTTCAAAGCCGTCTTATATCTGCTAATGCATTCAGATCTCACAACTTCCAAGGAGGGTAGGGCATTTATGGATGAGAACACTGAGCAAGGGATGATAAAATGATTTCCTCAAAGACGCACTTCTCACATTAAAGGGATTACAAGGACCCAGCTCTCTGACTTGAGATGATGCAGCCTGTCATGAAACATACAGGGTCATAAAGGAGACTGCTCTGGTGCCACAGAGTATTAGCGTGTGACTTGGGCGAGCTTCAGGTTCCTCGTCTGTAAGATGGGAAGAACAGTTACTTCTGCCTCAGCACAGTGGAGGCAGGGTGGGTTAATCCTGGGCCTTGTTCCTCTGCAGCAATACACTGCTTCCCGTACGTGAAGAAGCGAATCCCTGTCATGTACCAGCACCACACGGACCTGAACCCCATCGAGGTGGCCATTGATGAGATGAGTAAGAAGGTGGCCGAGCTGCGGCAGCTGTGCTCCTCGGCCGAAGTGGACATGATCAAGCTGCAGCTCAAGCTCCAGGGCAGTGTGAGCGTCCAGGTGAGCCGGCATTGCGGCCCAAGGGCTGCGGGGGGAAAGGCTCCCTGGGACCTCGGTGAATTTCAGGTCGTTCATACCAGAGAAGTCAAGTGTAGACCCCCCGGGTTACCAGGTGATCCCCATTACCTTTCTCTGGTGTCTGTCATTTCTCCTGATCTCTGAGGAGGGGGTAGCTTTCGGACCCCCATGAAAGCCCACCTGCGAGATCTGTCATTCCCATTGAGCTGTATGCAAGGGGCAAGCCCATTCTCCATATTAGCCTGACTCGTTAGTAACTGGGGGAAGTCTAGGTGCTGGATTAGAAACATCAAGACGCTCCTAAGTTTGTAAAGAAGGGTAACTGGCAGTAGGTCTTCCTACAAACACCATCATTTTCTAGTTTCTATAAAAACTGTATCTCGAAAGTACCTTCGGTTTCACTCTCTTAATGGTTTTTGGTTTTTGTTTTTTTGTAGATTTTTGCCGTAGGACACATGTGCTCATGGAGAGAGACAGAGAGAGATAGTGAGACGAAAAGGAAGAAATCATCCTCCAAGGAGTGATAGCCATGCTTCAGAATTTTCTCCTCCATCCCTCTCTTAGGATTTTGGGGACACACCCAAACATGCCTGGTGTGATTTTCAAGCCACCAGTTCTGGGATTGCAGCACAGTTGGTATGTGGGAGTCCAGTGCCTTAACCACCACACCACCTGCTGGACCCTGTGGTATCTTTTCATTACAGAAATACTCTATTTTCATATAGCCAAATCAGTCCATTTTTTCCTTTACTGAGGGCATTTTTATGTCCTCTTTAAGAAATTTGTGCCCACTCCAAGATTTCAAAGATGTTTTCCTCGTTTGTTCAGCATTCACATTTAGATCCACAGTCCTTGTGGAATTGATTTTTGTATGTGGTGTAGGATAAAAGTCAAGGTACATGTTCATGATTTACTGAAAAGATCATCTTCAGTCTAAGTACTGATTAACAAATATGTTCAGTTTGTGAAAAGACATCAGTGTATTTTGTACACCAAAATATATCATGCATTTTGGATATATGCACTTTTTTATTTATATATTACATTTCAATAAGAGTTTTTTATTTAATTTTTTTATAGGTTTTTGCTATAGGGCACACGCACTCACCAGAGGTAGAGAAAAATTCAGTGATAGGGAAAGTGAGAATTGAACCCCCAGGAGGCAAAGGCCATGTCACAACCCCTTCTCTTCCACTCTCCTCCTGGGATTTGGGGCATGCACGCACATGCACCTAGTGTGATTTTCAATCCACCAGGTCCGGAACTCAAATTGCATTTGGCCATATAGGAGTACAGTGCCTTAACCACCATGCCACCTGCTGGTCCCCAATAAGAAATATATATATATATATATTTT